CTCAAGTGGACTGGCTAGGCGTACATAGGACCAAGAAGGACAGTAGGCTGCTTGTACCGGTCGAACGTCATTGGTTTGGCATAGTGCTAAGATCGTATAAGTCGTATTTTGATTGGTAGATAGATCACGTGATAAAAGCTGGACATAAAATCATAACAACATTCTTATAGGATCGTGAATAGGAACTGCTGAGAAATTACAAATTAGAATACAACTAAACAACACAAATTTAACACAGAAATTTATTCTTAAATGTTAATTATTTTTAGTATTAATAACTTTATTCAATATTATATTTTTAGTACAATATAGAATTCTCAGTACAAAGTATTCCTAATAGTTGAGATCATGAGTCAATTAAAGATAGACCACCATGGAAAACCTGGAAGCATTAGATAGTCGTTTAATCTTACAATGTATTTCAACAAGTTTTCTTTTTCTTATTTCTTGATCGATCCTGACGATCAATAATGAGAGATTGCCAGTTAGTTATCATCATTTTAGAAGTCGACATCTAAATAATATTCATTGTTTTCAATGCATATTACTAGCCATCACGATGTTTGTGATTGCACATTTTTATAACTTGTACAACGAAAGGTCGTAAACATTTCACAAACACACTTAAATAGGTTATACAATTAATTAACATAATGATCTGTTAAAACAAACAGGGAAACAGATAACTTACTGAAACATTTAGATGTCAGGAACAGGTAGCCCAAATAATTAAGAACGCCACTTTTTTAATGATTTATACCTATTCAAAACAGAATTTTAACTGAAAATGTAAACAAAAAAACTAGTGAAAAACGTCTACATTACTCTACTCAAATGTTAGCTAGTGATAAGAATCAATCATTTTTTTTCAATATTTGAAATCATGAATCATTTCAAGCTAGACCATCATGAGAAACCTGGTACCACTGGACGACCATTTCATTCTAGTATGGGACTCCTCAGCAGTGCGCACCCACAATCTCATCCCCCTCAAGATTCGAACCCAAGACCCATCAGTCTTGCGAGCGAGCACTGAACCGGCATCCAACGGTGTTAATGTCCAACATCAATTGACTCATGATTTCAACTATTGAAATGACTAAAATATCCACACCGTTTTTTTCTAAAAAAAATTATTCTCATATGTGAAAACAAAGATTTCTTCAATGCATGGGATAATAATACTCGGAGAAAATGTTTCTGGTTCATTTAATTCAATATAATTTTTTCTTCTGATTTATTGAATCGTATAGTTGTGATGATAGTTTCAATGAAAAAAAACATTTTTTGTTTGTTTTTTGAATGATTAATGAACATTATTGATTTTTATAAAAATGAGCATTGAACAACAATAATAATTGAATATCAAATAAGAAATGAATAGAAAAATAAAGGAACATTTTAATTAAACAATCATTGTATTCATTTTACAAATCATGAATTCGGTACATTTCCCCGATACAACACAGCATGCACCAATCCAATCAAAATTGACGGAGAAGATTTGGAAGATGTAAAAATCTCTACATATTTGGGCAGCATCATTGATGAACAGGGTGGATCTGATGCAGATGTGAAGGAGCGGGTCGACAAAGCAAGAGCAGCATATTTACAACTGAAGAACATCTGGAACTCAAAACAACTGTCAACTAACATGAAAGTCAGAATTTTCAATACAAATGTCAAGACAGTTTTACTGTATGGGGCGGAAACTTAGAGAACTATGAAAGCTATCATCCAGAAGATACAGGTGTTTATTAACAGTTGTCTTCACAAAATACTTCGGGTCTGTTGGCCAGACACTATCAGCATTAACCTATTTCGGGAAGAGAACAAACCAGACCCCAGTGGAGGAAGAAATCAGGAAGAGGAGATCAAAGAACATATTACACCGAGAAATCGAGACAGACATGAGAAGAATGAACAACTGGACAGAACTGGAAAGGAAAGCTCAGGACAGAGTGGGTGGAAGAATGCTGATCAGCGGCCTACGTTCGATTGGGGGTAACAGGCGTTAATAAAGTAAAAGTAAAGTTTGGTACATTAAGGAAGAATGTATTTGTAAAATCTCAGCGAATGAATTTGTAGTAAATTCAACCATTCGTCTGGCAACTTGGTTCAAGCTATTCGATAATTTTGATGTTTGATTATATTTCCTTGAAAAAGTTTGAGTCGGATTGTCAGGTGAAATGTTGGGTTTACTTCCAATTCATTCATTGAGATTTTACAAATACATTCTTCCTCTCTAATGTCTCACATTAACTCGACGCCCAAATACTATGAAACGATTCGATCAAATTTAAACGAAAGTTCTTATACATAATTATGGTAGCTTACTTAGTATATGAATCGGTTATAATTGAACAGTTGATTCTTAGTTTTAAGAAAATGATCTAAATTATAAACTGAAAATACCTAAGTAAATTTCATTCATGAAATCTATCATCATAATTGTTATTATTTTGATGAAATATAACTTGTTAGCATTGAAAACATTTGAAAACTATATCGAAGTTTATACAATTTTAAACTAATTGCCTTAAACACAATTTCACTTAAACCATTTGGTAATTGAAGTTCCAATGTAATCCACTTGACAACATTCCACATGTTTTAAACCGTATGGCAATCTGATAAGTAGTATAACTAGATATAGACTTGTTATTATTTGAGTTATAATTGAGACAAACATCTAACTTGCAATATAAATTGTGTCATACAGTTATATGAAGAAAAAAAACACTGGTCACTCATTCAATGGAAGAATATCATTACAACTTATAGAAAACTTTTATTTCGAATTTGTGTATAGTTGTGAATGTAGACTAATAAAGATCCCCAGTTCATAACTGGTACTGTTATTATTACATTCAGTAATTTTCTTCTTCATATTCATCAAGTGAACAATTATCTCTCATCTCCAAACCACCTTGATCTTATCACTTTCTTTATTAGCCTTAAGATTACTGTACAAACAATCCTCGATTTTTGATATTTTCAAACAACTATGACATAATTTCACTTTATTTCTTAATGGGCTATAATGTATGTCAAATAAATCAAAATATGATTATACAGTTTTAGTAAATAACGTTTATAAAAAACAATCATTTATATTCACTTGGTGTTGTTTCCCATTGTTATTTAGGACTACAATTGATCAGTCTATTGTTGGCATATATGCATCCTGTACGGATTGCCTCGATATAGCCTTAACTCATAATCTCGAGTCCCAGAGTGAACATCAAATCTCATATGCAGATACATCCAGTGGATGAGTCCCAAATAGGATGAAACGCACATCCTGGATTGCACTACTCGCCACCTATCCATCTTTATTTAAAAATCTTTTATGTTTTATCAACTATAGTTTATTTCATTGTAAGAACACACAACAACAAATAATTAACCAAAAATCCCAAATAGAATATGCTGACATAAAATATAAAATAAATAGAAGCAAAGCTAATGATAATTTACATATTCCTAATTCATTATGAATTATAGTTACATTTAATATTTGTCAAGTCCATTTATTAAAAAAAATTAAAATTTACAACTTGAGAAATATTTGTATGTTACTATGGTGATGTAAAACAGACAATGAAGTTGTTTGTTTGTTTTTCTTTCGATTAAAAAACAACAATAACACATTATGATAGATTAGGTTAAACGGGAAAAAAAAGGAGAAAAATAACAACAATAAGAACCATTTAAAATATAAAATATTTAGTTATATAATAAAAAGTGTGCTTTTTTCCCAGTTGATGAAAACATGTTTAAAAACATCATAAAACCATTGATTATTGAATAAATATTCGCTGAACTATTCCCATTTCATTAAAATACAATGATATGAACAAAGAATATTCCTTTCAATAATTTTACATCAGGTTCTACAATTATCATATCCAAATTAATAATCCATAAAATTGGGCAAATTTAAGGTAGAGTACATCATTTATCTGGGCTACCTGTTCCTTCGATCTAGATATTTCATCAAGTTATCTGTTTTCTTGTTTGTTTCAGCATATCATTATGTCTACTGTGCTCACAATCTATTCAGGTGCGTTTATGAAACGTTTATAACCTTTTGCTGTACGGATACCAAAAAGGTATAATCAGCGACATCATGGTGGTTGGCAATATACATTGAAACGAATGAACATTATTCAAATGTGGATTACCGAACTCCTAACATCTAACTGGTCATCATTCAAAATTTATCGTCACAGTCGATCAAGCAATAAGAAAAGGAAACTTGTTGAAATACTTTATGCTGAGAATTCTATATTGTACCGAAAATATAATATTGAATAAAGCTTATAATAATAATAAGATTGTAACATGTGAATTAATGATTGTTTGTCATTAGAAATCAAGTCACATTGTTAATGTTGGAGCTGACTAATATGAAGTGTTAACTTGAATCAGTTTATAAGTGAAATGAAATTGTGTGATAAATAATGACCAGAATAAATATGGTCAACATGGGGTAAAAGAGAGAGAGAGAGAGAATGTTGTGATTACAAATCAGAAATTACGTAATATATTGAATAATATGAATTAGGCAAGAATTAGCAGGTGGGGGTGGATACTGAATAAATCTCTCAAAAAGGTTAGCTAGTGTAATAATAATAATAATAATAATAATAATAATAATAATAATGTACTCTGCCTTAAGCCTGGCCAATTTTATGGATTATTAATTTGGATATGATAATTGTAGAACCCGATGAGAAATTATTGGAAAAGAATATTCCTCGTTCAAATAAATATTCATTTTACAAAAAGCAAAAAAAAAGAAACATTGTTGAAGTATTTGATCAAAGTGTATTAAATTCTTTAACTCTTCCAATTCGTTTCTTTTTCATTTCTTATGATAGAATAACGAGTCATTTAATGAACAAAAAGAAAAACAAAAAAAAAAACACAATTTGTACTCTCTTACATGTAATAGGTTGTATGACCTTTTTTTGTTTTGTTTTTCTTTCTCTAATCTATTTTCTTGGGTAGATAAGAATATTTGGTTGGGGATTAATTGTTGGTTTTATAAATGATGTACAACACTTTGGTAATGTTGAGATAGTTTTTAATAATTCAATTTCAGTATTAGTAGTATTATTAGTAGTATGAGTAGTAGTAGTAGTAGTAGTAGCTTTCAAATCTGACTCTTTCATAAATGTTGACAATTGTGTTGATTTTAAATCACATTGAATATATTTTGAATTTTGTATTGAATGCTTAGTTGTAGTGTAAATAAGATCATTGATTGATGTAGTATTATTTTTATGGAAAGAGATATTATTATTCTCATTTCTATAAGGAATAGAAGTGAAACATTCATTTAAAGGATTAGTTATTCGATTTTTTAAATTATTTTCACTATTTGATTCTTTTTTATTATTGATAATTTGTGATGAAGATGTTGATGGAGTATGATGAAATCCAAGAAAACTTGGTTGATCTAAAGAAAGTTGATCATTTTTTGAAATAAGTAAATGACATTTACTCATTTCTCGTTTTTTACATTCATTATTATTATCTACCCATATGGGGTGTGAAACAGGATCATAGATTGATAAACTATTTCGATCATAAATTCGCACTTTATTAGTATTCATTTCGTCAAGATGATAATTACCGGGATAAAGTTTCAATTCAAACGTTTTATTATCGTTATTTTTCATTGTGTCAAAAACATTTTCTTTACATTTATTCTTCAGCTCTTCTTCTTGTTGTTTACGGCGTTTTTCAGCAATATAATCAATTTTAGCCTTTCGATAAACACTACGTTTTCTTGTTGTATTCAATATAATCATATCACATAGAACTGTTGCTATACCGAGTAATGCTAATCCAGAACCAAAGTTCATTGAAAATGTTAAAATATTGAATTTACCACCAGTTCCATACACTGTTATGAAAAACTGGATACCATAAGCTTTAATCAAATTACGTTTACGTACACCACCATCAATGTAATGTTGACTAAATCGAAAATTCCATCCATTCGCCACATTACTCTCAAAGTCATCTAATCGACGAAATACATATTTCGGTAAACACTTCTCCTCATCGAAATCTAGATTACAATTCCATTCAATGTGAATTGATACCATACCACCAGTCTCCCATATATCTTTATTTACTGGATCAGAATATTTCAGTATATCACCGAGACGGAAAATCGGGCAATATTTCAATTTATCATCATTTGGATTATATAAACATGTTTTCAAAAATAAACGACTCATCCATTTAAGTATATTCCTGCGCTTTATTCGATAACGTGGAAATTCGATACTGTTTTTCAGTATTACTGTGAAATTTTCAGCTGATGATAATAAATGCGGTCTCGCAATATCGTCGTGTTCTGTAGGACACCAACCATATATTTCACACACACGTAAATTTGCTTGCCTTGTAGAATTCACACATTTACCTGTTTGTATCCCACTACCACGTTGAACTAACTGTCCAGAGTGACATTGTGAATCATTGTGACAACTATTACCAAAAACATCATGCGATTCTTCACAATGTCCCAATGTCTGTCCAGGTGTATAAATCAAATTGGTCATCACAAAGAATGCTGAATTCTGTTGTGGTGGTATCACATAATCAGCCGCATCCCAAACAGTGGCTCCAAGTGATGGATTATTAGTTACGTTGGCAAAAGCGACACCTTTCAATTTTGCAGTCACTCCACTCACTGCTTGATCGAATGATTGATAACCTTTTTCATAGATCATCACCCATAATACAACATAGAGAATAATTCCTAATTGTATAAGTCTAAATGTGACTCCAATTTTTTTTGAATGAATTTGTACCACTTTCTGTGTTTCATATTCCAATAATCCTTCAACAAAACTCTTTAGAAATCCCATCAGCTCATTAATTTATAAATTAATAGGTAATGTTTCACAATGTCCAGTAAAATGTTTAAATTCTTTTCGAAGTTAATTAGGCCTGGAGGTTATTTTTCCATACATATTCAGTCAATATCTGTGAATAATATTTCCTTTACGAATTGTTTTATGCCAATTTTACTTTGTATTTGGTTTACATATGAATAAATAGCCTCAATTGGTTATCAAAAGGACCAATAGAAGTATGACTGAAAATTAATTTATATTATTCTTCATAAGCTACAATGACTTACATATGAGTACTTAAATGGATATTTAAAACATATTTTAGGAAATTATTAATTTAGATAGAACAATGAGAAGACAGAGTTGATCTTATCAACTCTGATCAACAAGTTTCAATGTCATATAATATTCACTAACTGGGGCAATGCGTGGTGTAACCAGTCGTCATCAGATCATACTAAGCGAATCAGATCGGAATATCCAATGAATGTTTCTCTTAATATATCTTCCTGTACAAAAGAGGAATCGATTGAATCAAAGATGAGTGAAAACTGACGATATGATCTACATCAATATTTATTGCATTACCAACTAGCAGTAGCCTCTGAATCAGTAGGCCTCAACACACATAAGGGAAAAAGCAAGATCCTCAAATACAACAAAGTGAGTACCAACCCAATCACACTTGATGGGGAAGCTCTGGGATATGTGGAATCTTTCACGCACCTGGTCAGCATCATCGATGAACAAGAAGGATCCGATGCAGATGTAAAGGCGAAGATTGGCAAAGAAAGCGCCGCATTCCTACTATTGAAGAACATATGGAACTCAAAACAACTGTTAAACAACATCAAAATCTGAATCTTCAGTGCGAATGTCAAGACAGTCCTACTGTACGGAGCTGAAACGTGGAGAACTTCTACAACCAAAATCAGAAAGGTACGAGTATTTATAAACAATTGTCCACGTAAGGTACTGAATTATCTGGTGGCCGGACACCATCAGCAACAGCCTACTGTAAGGGAAGACAAACCAGCTTCCGACTGAGGAAAAAATTAAGAAAAGAAACTAGAGGTGGATAGGTCATACATTTCGGAAAACATCAAACTACATCACGAAGCAAGGTCTAACTTGGAATTTGGAAGCAAAACGAACAAATGAAAGGCCGAAGTACATATTGCGACTAAAATTTGAGACAGACATGAAAAGCATGAATAGCAACTGGGAAGGGTTGCCCAGGACAGGATTGGATGGCGAGTGCTGGTGGGAGGCCTATGCTCCTCCACGAGAGGTAACAGGTAAGTAAGTAAGTAAGTAAGTAACCAGGGATCTTTGACTAAATGAGAAATTTAAAAACCATTGAGTATGAACAAAGCAGTGTCATTTATTTTAGTGTATAATAAAAATTGTTTGAATGTAGAGGAATATGATGGAATCCACTGAAACTGTTAATCAGTATTGTCCATACAAATGAAGTAATTGTGATCGCTAATTGGCTGGGATAATATAAGTGGAGTCACTTAACTCCAAATCAAAATGTCTAAATTTATCGTCTAGGAGGGGAGACAAGTAGGATGTCGGTTAGATAGAGACAAATGATTGCGGGTCTTCGTAGCTGACAAGCATTTAACTATAACGAAGTACCGTTGAAACCATGAACTACTTCAAGTTAGACAACCGTTAAAAACCTGATAGCACTGGATAGCGTTTGCGTATTAGCACGGGATTACTCAACAGTGCCTATCCACTTTCACACAGAATGGTGTAGAACCCACGACCTATAGTATTCCGCTCAAAAACTCTACCTACGAAAAATTGAACCGTAATCCCATGGTGTGACAATTGACACACTCGTTCAAAGTAAAGACCGGTGTCAGGCAAGGTTGCTTACTCTCACCCTTCCTCTTTCTCCTGGTGATCGACTGGATCATCAAGACGTCAACATCTGAAGGGAAACGTGGGATACAGTGGACATCTAGGATGCAGCTGGACGATCTAGACTTCGCAGATGATCTGGTCCTTCTATCCCAAACGCAACAACAAATGCAGGAGAAGACAACCAGTAAAGCAGCAGTCTCAGCAGCAGTAGGTCTCAATATACACAAAGGGAAAAGCAAGATTCTACTATGGGAGAGAACAAACCAGATCCCAGAGGAGGAAGAAGAGCTGGAAGTGGATAGAACACACATTGAAGAAAGCACCCAAATACATCACAAGACAAGCCCTCACATGGAATCCTCGAGACCGAAGGAAAAGAGGAAGACCAAAGAACACATTACTCTGGGAAATAGAGATAGACATTAAAAAAATGAACAAGGATTGGATGGAATTAGAAAAAAAGGCCCAGAACAGAGTGGGTTGGAGAATGCTGGTTGGTGGCCTATGCTCCATTAGAAGTAACAGGCGTAAGTAAGTAAGTAAGTAATCCCCTGATGTACAAGTCAAACCTCAACCAACCAACGATAATGCATGACCGCCTTCCACTGTCTTCTCTGACTACATTCCCCACACATGACACGGTTAGTTGTTTCATTGAAGTACGAAAATTCTCCATAGCCACACACTAACTACATCGAAATAGTTGCTTGATGATCTCTTAATTTCGGTAATTTTGCACGTTCTGTTGACCTGTGATGTTCAAAATTATTATCAAATATGCACAATTGTTTACCATATCACATATTTTTATTGTCAGTCATTGCGGACTGTCAAAATAATATGGTACTGTGAAGATAATGTTCTGTAGAACAATTGAAAACACATCGTTTGCATGCTAGCATGAATCAATCACGACATATTTGTGACTAAAATCGGTGTGATAATTACAATACCAACCATCTTACAATGAGACTTTCATGACAATGCATCATCAATCATGTGATATCACTTCCCCATACAAAATACATTTATAATTATATTCACTCATATTCATTTACTTTCAGCACTTGTAATAACGGTATAGAGTACTGTTCTTCATTGTGAAAAACACCGAATTTCTAAAAAAAATTCTATTGGAAATAATGTAAACTTTCAAGTTCGTCAGTGTTCTTGACAAAATCATAACTAATGATTATCTATTATGCTCTTATTGTTAACCACAAGTGAAAAGTCTCTGACCAGTGATTATAGAAAATTAGATATAATGTTCAATCGTACAAATGCAAAGAAACAGACTAGAAACTTAACAGTAACATTTCAAAGTTTGGACGAGCTGAGCTACAATTACATACCATAGACGATGTTGTAACTGCAAAACTTTCGTCATATCTGTATCATCGGTGAATATTACCCGCTTGAAATTTTCACGTTGTTCGGAGTTGACACATTGAAAGTAGCGGAAAATACAAAAAACAGTTGGTCTAAATCATAAACCAGATGAACAATTTTATGTGCCGTTAGCAATTCGCATCCGTTATTCAGTAAATAAGCATCTTAGTGGTATCTCCTTATATCATCAATCCGTGGAAGAACAAAATCAAATGTGCTGAATGAATGTGATTCAGATTTCACAATAAGCATGCCCTTCTATCATATATTGATCAACGGAATGAACTGACGCATAACCGAGAGAGCCTCTGTTAACAATATCATGAACATCTTATATAATGAAAGAAATATGAAAAATGGTTTATAAATATTCCACAGTTTATTCGGTTTACCAAGTTGATGCCTTTCCACAAATGGCCAATATGCAAAAGAATATCTACACTGCCACACACTTCTAATCATTTTACTGAAAATGTGTTTTTAATTTAACACCTGAGAGCTACTTGTGTTTCTTTATCTCCAACTAGATGCAATGAGTCAGAGTTATACACATATGCAACAATATAAGTATCAAAATCAACAATAATAAATCAAATGATATTGATTACGATGAAGACTAAGGAGGAAATTATAGTAAACTGGTTAACACAATATACACACGTAATAATAACACCTAAATATTAGTAATTCTCATGAGAATTTTGTAAAAAAAATGACACTAGTGTACCAGTAGTACAGTTAATCAAATCGAATAGAAACACATTCAGTAACAACCAGTGAACGGTGATTGCAAATTCAAACACACGCATTCAAACACATTCTTCAAATATCCAACACTGAAAATAAACATTCACATCCATTTCATTTGGTCGAATAATCATAACCACCAGCACATCAACACACAAATTATTGACATTCTTATTCGTCGTCCAAACAACAACATGAAAACCTCCAGTTTGTAAGTCTTGACCAAATGATATCAATTCACTCTGATGAATAGAATTCACAATACCACAAAATCGTTATCATTAACACCGTTAGATACCGACTCAAAGATCTACAGGTTAAGTGTTCATTCGTGAGACTGAAGGCCCTGGATTCGAATCCTGCAAGCGAGATCGTAGATGCGCATTGTTGAGGAATCCCACAATAGGACGAAATGGCCGTCCAGTGCTTCCAGATTTTCAATGATGGTCTAACACCAATCAGTTCGTGATCTCAATCAAAAAATTTACAAAATGATTAATGACATTGAGTGTCACATTCATATCATATCAATGACATGTGATGAATTCAGATTTATATTGATGTATTCAATCACATCGCCCTAACAACTCACTACCACCACCACCGTCACCACCACCATCAACAACAACAACAACAATCACAAATAAATGTAATAGAAGATATGTCTCAACATACTTTTGTTTAGCATTCGTTTCGCATGAAAAAATGAAACAGTTCAATTATCGAGAGTATACAGTTAATATATACTGTCATTTTGCTGTTTCATTTACTACTCAACAGTTTAGTAATAAATTAAATGAACAAACAGACATTATAGTCTTCGAACGATAGTCTCATTCTTGACTACACTTCCTGAACGCAGACTATGCTATATCCTGTCTGGAATATATATTTCTAGATGAAAATATTTTTCATAAAAAATCTTTTTCATTCACTTCATCATCTCCAAAATTGATCAGATTGTTAAAAATGTTTTTGAGAATAACTAATTAATTTGAAATTACACAGTCTGCATTATTTCTTGCTAACCATGTGTGTGTTCAGTTCA